GGAAGACACAGGTGAGCTGAGATGCCAGAGGCCTCTCCTCCCTTTGTCTAAGGAGCTGGAACAAGGCATAAGGTCTCGCCAGATATGGCCAGCCCACCCCCAACCCGTCTCTACTCCTTCCTGAGCCTCCTGCCTTTGGCCTTTCACACTGGGCCATCCTTTGCATCTCAGGAATGTTATACGTTCTCCCTTGGTTTTCCCACAGAGGATTGTGCAAGATACGATTGCTAAAATGGAGACTTCTGGTACAACTTCTCTGCTTTGAAAGCTACTTTGCCACTTGTTTACTGTTTTCATTTTTGCTTAATAATTTATAAACCACGTTTCACCCTTAAAACTGAACTCAAGGCAGCTTATGATGCTGAGAACAGAAAAAGAAAGCAAAAAGGGAAAACTAGTTTTCTGTAAGTGAAGGTAACCTGCCCAAACCAAAACTCTAAAAATGTGGGTAGAAATAGTGAATAGTCCGTGGCACACCTCCTTTTTTTCATAAGGTGCTCGTACATGAGCCTGGTTTGTACATTGAAACCAGATCGTACTGTACATTGAAGCTGTTTCTGGAAAACGGCCTGGGCTCCCCACGCAGCCCTGATGCCGAGCTGTCCACCCACAAGGGGCTTGCCCAGCCTGAGCAGGAGGCCCACGCTCCTCGCCATTTGGGGGTGAAGTGCAGACACGAATCCTCCTCAGAGGGTGGGGGCCACCCCTGTGACCCCATGCTGAGGCAGGGCGTGCCCAAGGGAGCCCTTGCCACCCCGGCTCCCGTTGGCCGGGAGGAACTGAAAGATGAACAAGGAGAGCGTGTTGCACCATAGCCGCCCAGCTGGCAAACCAAGCACCTGCTCCCCTCCCAGTGTCCAATCAGGGAACAAAGCAGGCTAGTTGGGCAGGTGTGCACTCAAGGGTAATCCCACCTTCTAGGGACATTGTGTGCCACTCCATCTGCTTTGCTCTCCAACCCAAGTTGGAATCTGGATCAGAGCAGCTCCAAGGATTCTCAAAGCTGAGAACAACTCATGGTGTCAGACTAGGTCAAAAATGTTTTCCTCACAAAGCAGGAAGACCCCAAGTGCTGTTGGCCAATGCTGTGGTCTGCAGACTGCCCCCCCACCAATGCCTAAGGGCAGTGCTGAAGGGAGAGGCCCAGGGCCCCCCTCCCCAGAATGAATCTTGCCGTCAACTCCCTGGAGAGCAAGAGACCTTGGCTTCCCCGTCCAGCCGCACAAAACACTTTGCATAAGCAAGTTTCTTGGTTCTGATATGTGGGCATTGGTCAACTTTATCTCCAACTCCAGATGGAAATTTTAAGTTCTTTCCTTTGCTGTTTGCTGAGGGACCTTCCTGAGAACAGACTGCAAGCAATGAACACTTGCCCGCTCTGCCCTTTGGGGTTCTCTGTTACAGCCTCACTGCTAAGTTTTATACCCAGTTGGGCAGTCGGTATAGACACCAACTAGAGTCTATTTATCAACCACTCAACTAAGGAGAAGATGTGGATGAAACCTCAGAAAAACAAATTGCAAGAATTTCAAAGAGATACAATGTAATAGTAGTGATGAGTGATTCCACCTATCTTGATATCTGTTGGGAAGCAAATTCTGCCAAGTATGGCCTTTCCAAGAAATTCCTGGCTGATAATTCTCTCCTACAAAAAGTGGAGGAAGAAACTAGAGGAAGAAACTACCCTGGACTTCATTCTAACCTTGGTGGATAATGGGCCAGCAAGAGGAACTCTGGGGGAAAGGGACCATGTTGTACTCGAGTTCCTTATTTGAAAGAAAACAAAAGCAGAGTGTAACGCCACATGTATGCTGGATTTTAGGAAAGCTAATTAAAAAAAGAAACTCAGAACAATGATAAGTAAGATCCCATGGCAGGAGATCCTAACAAGAAGAGGAGTCCAAGATGGGTGGAGAGTTCTCCAAAAGGAAATTCTAAAGGCAAAAGTACCAACAATTGCAATTTGAGGTTGATACACAAATAATCAAGGAGAACCTGGGTCCCAGTCCTGTGTCTGACAAAGTGGACTTGTCCATGAAAGCTCACATTAAAATCAAACAGTTAGTTTTTAAGGTGCCACAACATTTTTGTCTTCTCTCTTATTTATTTTTCTTTTGTTTGTGCTTGATAAGCTAGCAGAGAGCAACACGGCTACCTCTTCTAAAACCTATTACTTTGAATAAGTTCAAATTCCCATTGCCAGATGAACTGTATCCAAGAGTACTGAACTTCACAGAACTACAATCTATCATTTTCATGGAAGATTGGGTGAAGTGCCAGATGATGATTAAAGAAGGGCTATCCTTGCCCCAGTTTTCAAAAAGGGCAAAGAAGGAGGAACCTAGGAGCTACAGACCAGTCAGCCTGAATCAATACCAGGGAAAATTGTGCAGCAAGCAAGTATTGGTTGCCCTGTAGTGTAGACCAGTGGTTCTTAACCTTGGGTGACTCAGGTGTTTGTGGACTGCAACTCCCAGAAGCCTTCACCACCAGCTGTGCTGGCTGGGATTTCTGGGAGTTGCAGTTCAAAAACACCTGGGTAACCCAAGGTTGAGAACCACTGGTGTAGACAGTTTCCGAAGGGAATCAGGCAAGGGGGAGTGTAACCCTGCTGGTCTTCCTGGATCTTTCTGCAGCCCCTGACATCATCAGCCCAGGTGTCCTTCTGCAAAGTGACAAACTCTTTTTGAAATTTTTCTCCCTCTTGGCTATTATAACCTGCCAAGGTTACAATGGCAGCATGGCCCACCATGTCATCAGTGCTTCTCTTCAGGAAGGCCATTGTGCCCTCCTGTTTAAAAGAAACAACCATAAGGCCCAGTGAGAAATGGCCCTGGGAGGCCCAGGAGCAGGACATCCAGGGGAGGACACCTACTGCAGAGTGTGGCTCTCCTCCCACAGGGAGAGAGAAGCAGGCCAAGGGCTCCTGAAAGCTGCTTTGGCTGTCAAGGTCAACCGCTGGAGGGGGTCTCCCTGAGATTGCCCACTCCCACCAGGAGAAGGCCAGCTACTGGTCAATCGCCTTCAAGAAGCAGAAAGGACACCCGGCCACCACCATTTGCCCTTGAAGTCCACCTTAGAGACTGCAGCTTCCAATAAGTTTAAAAGTTCTCACCAAAACAACAACAAAAGAAAACAGAACCCCCTGCCATTTCTCTCTGCCAGAAGGCTTGGCTCCACTTTCCAACCTCCAGGCAAGATTCCCCTTTCTCGTCCACCCATCCGAGCGACCCTCCTCCCCCTGGCTGCCGGCTGCTCCCCCTGGGGACTGACGGGAAAGAAAGGCATTGGGTGGGAAGAGGCCGCCGGGAGACAGCGCCGGTGGGTGACTCCGGCGGCCTTCCTCTCCTTCCTCCTCCTCCTCCTCCTCCTCCAGGCCAGTTCAGAACCTTCCCATTCGAGACCAGCTCAGTGGACGCTTCCTTGCCTGGGATGGCTCAGCCGCGCCGCACCGATAGACTGGATTTGCGCTGGGTGGCCTTCCCTCTCTCTTCCTGACCCCCCTCCCGCTCCAAAGGCCCGGCAACCGGGGTCACCCAACGCACCTCCCGCCCCAGCCCGGCCGCCCTTCAATCTCTTCAGAGGCCAGGGCTTGGGGAGGGAAGCCTGGCTTCCCACCGGCCAGCTTCGCCGCCGCCCAAAAGCCAGCCGCCGGAGGGCTGACCAGGAAGCGAGTCCCCCCTGGCTCGCTCCCCTCCTGCCTCCGGGTCGCGACTCCCTCCCGGTGCCCGGCGCAGCCGGCTACGGCCTCAGGCGGAGGGGCCCTCGGCGCCGGCCGGGCCCCAGAGGCGGGCCGGAGAGCGGCGGCGCGCCTCGGTCCCGCGCGCTGTCTTCGAGTCTGCCGGCCAGCAAGCTCAGCGCGGACGGAGCTCTCCTCGGGCCCCAGCGCGGGCGCGACGCTCCGGTGGGACGGGACGGGCCCCCGGTGGCCCGAGCGAGCCCAACTCCGGCGGCCCGGAGGGCGGGCGAGAGCGAGCCGTTCTCCGGCCGCCCCGCCGGCCTTGCTCTTCTGGAAGTTGGCATCGCCTTCGTCCTGGGCCCGCCTGCTCCCCAGCGCGCTTTCCTCGACCTGCCCCAGCGGGCCGTCGTGGCGTTCCGGGGCGCTCCTTCGGCGTTTTCCCGAGCAGGGCCCTTCCCGTGGCTGGCGGCGGCTCACCG